TAAAAGTAGTATTTTTAATTCATAAAGAAAAAATTAGTAATCAGTTTAAGGTTTCATCATTACAACTTTTATTATTTTAAAAGAATTAATTTTAGAAAACTTTTAATCCAAAAAATAAAAAATAATTATTATTTATTCTTTATTTATGTTTACTAAAATTCATAATTTAAGCTGAAAACTAATTTTATTTTGATGTCTTTGAGCTAAAAATCATTTTTAAATATCTATATCTCTATATTCTCTTAAGTTAATATTGTTTTATTGGCTTATTTCTCAATTCCTCTGATTACATCAAAAATCATTCATTTGGATCCCTATTCTAATTAAGGTATATTCGAATTTTCAAATCACTATTTTCTTCTTAAGGGAAATAATATAAGTAAGAAACATAATAAGATCTATTTGGAGGATAATAATATTAACATTTATCTAGTCTTTAAGTATAATTACTCTTTCTTCTTAATTTTCCTTTTAATGCATCTATAACAAGTATTTATCCTTAAAGTAATTGGATGCAACAACAAAAGGCTTATTAAATAAATATACAGGGTTGAATTCAAAGATATAATTCCTAATAACTTTATAATTTTTTCCGATTCTAATAACAATATATTTACCATTTTCATCTAAAAGAAGCCAAATAGAATCATAATGTAAATAAAAACGAACATAGCGATAAAGGTATTCATTTAATATTAGACAGTTATAAATTACCAACATCTAGAGTTATCAATTGTGTAATCTTCAAAATTGATTGGTTATTTAATTAATTTACCACTTGATATTATATCAAAAAAACACTGAGATTTATCATCATATTCTATCTATCTTTAATAATTATAATAATTTCTGTAAAAAAATTTCTTAATCTTTAAATCTTGATATCAATTACTTATTACCATATATTATACATAAATATAAAATACCTTCTTTATTATATTCGAAACTATTATGAAGGTCAGAAATATCATCTATCTCATAATCTGATTTGTCTAATTAAATTTATTCTCCTTGTTCATTTGAATAACAATAATTAATATTCAGATCTTCTGGAAAAACAATATCTTCGAAATCATCAACTTTCAAGTAATGATTTTTTATTAAGCAATCTTCAAATTTGTATTCTAATTAATTATCTGCTTAAAATTTGAATGTGAAATTGACTATTCCACAAATTTTTTAATCTTTTCTTTCTGTCTCTTTTTAAATCTCACAATTATCCTCTTTTTATAATTTAATCATCAACACAGAAATATTTTCTTTAATTTAAATATTAGATATTTTATGAGTTTATTCATATATTATTCTTCATTAATATTATCTTGAAATCAACTTTCATTATTACCTTTATTATACTTATAATCTAAAAAAACAAATATTTGGATAATCAATTATTGTAGAAACAGAAATATCAATTTTTCATAAATCCATATAAATTTAAAGTATTAAAATATTCATTTGTTATATAGTATGTAATTATTCTAATTTTTTTAGAGAATGCATGTTTCATATCTTTAAATTCATTTTTCTTTAGCCAACTATATAATAAATTGAATAAATAATTATTAACTTACTTTTCCATATAATTTTCCTCTTAATATTAATTCAAAATTGATTCATAAATTAAATTATTAATTTGTTTCAATAATTTTATATTAAATGATATTATAATAGGTTTAATTAACAAAAAATAAAAGAAAAATAAGCTTTATTACATTTCTTCAATAATTTAAATCAAATAGGAATTTAGCAATAAAAGGATTGAATATTTAAATTAATAGTTCATAGAGATCTATAAACTTTAAATAAAAGAGCTTGAAAATTCAAATTTTAATATTCAAGTCTAACAAAATTAAAGAAGAATAATTAAATTATATAAAAATAGTTTTTTTCTTGTGATTTTAAGAGTTATCAAGTAAATACATAAGTATTGGCTTATTGAATCAAAAAAGAAAAACGAATTGTTATAAAAATGAAATAAAATATTTAAATAGAGGAAAAAATATTAATAAAAATTTCTATTTTAGCCTATGAATGATAAAACTTCTCAAATCAGGTAAACTATCTTATTTATTTTAAAATAAGGAGATTGAAATACAAATAATTATTTAACATGATTGTTCCAAGGTATATATTTAATTGCTTATTTCCATAAAAAGTTTTCTACGGAGACTTAGAATAATTTATTCATAGAAATGTTTTCCATATTATAGGCAATGATGGTTCCTATTATTTTAATTATTGTTTCTTTGGTGAAGCTGCTATTGATAAATGATTTTGTAAAGGTTTATAATTCAAAAGAATTTCACCATATTTAAAGGATTTAAATCAAACTAATGCTACAGGATAATTATCTTGTGTAAATTCCTGGTTTATAGAAGTAAATCCAGAGTGTTGACTTTTACCCTTTGTTAACATAAGGCTGTGTGGTTATTTTTTAGAAACTATTTTTAGATTAGAATCTTTGATGGTTAGTTTTATTTATCAGAACAGCAGTTTATTTAGAAGTTAGAAATATTTACATTACTAAATGTTTAATTTAATTGATTACTTTTTTTAAAAAGGAGCCTGTGGATTTTGATTTTGCAGTTTTTTTACAAAGAAAATCTGTTTAAAATATTTTTGTGACCTACAAAAAACAATATTTATTTAAATTACAATTTATATTTGTTATGATTAAATAGTTGAAGAATTTTTATTATTAATACAATCATAAATTAAAAAATTAAAGCAAAATAAAAAATGTTGTTATGAATTTATATCACTATCCAAAAAAGAAATGATGTTTTTTATATTCAATAATAGTTTTTGTTATTGTTATGAGGTTTACTTTGAAAATGCTAGTAATTATTATTCATGATCTTTGATAATGGATTCTAAAGATTTAAAAATAATGATAATAATATTCTTAATATTCAATCATTTTTTTCTTAAATTTTGATTAATCTCACACAGTTACTAGGTTATAACTGATAAACAAATCTCAGAGTCCATTTAGGAATTACATGTTCATTGGCTTATATAATAAACTATTTTAAAATTTAAGACAGAATTATTTTTGTTTCCATCAATGCCATATGTTATCCTATGCAATTTCTTGGACCTGCTGAAAAAGGAATGTATATGAAGTTGTCATTATTTAAAATTGGTTCAGGGGTTAGCCATCTTTTATAATCAAAATCTTCTGGGTTTACAAAATGTTTTTCTGAAACTGATTGCAACAAAGGGTTAATTATTACATTCCAGTCTAATATTCAATTACATAAAT